AAACTGTCGTCAGATGAGTGTCATCACACGTGGTTGCCGGCTACAATAAAATTATTGACTTCTGCGTATAATTCAGTTTGACACTACACTATTAAAATTCTTCCTTAGCGTTCAATTCTCCCGCATGCTAGATCCTACCGTAAATATCAAGCACTTACGCATAAGAATTAATAATGACAATATGGCAATGATTCTTATTTATATGAAATTGGTAGAGTGTCTTCCTACATAGTTATAAGAGTGTTAACCCCACCTTTCAACAGGCGCAAATCCTGTTTATGGTTATCACTCTCTAAATCCTATACTTCTGTTCCTACGCCAAATTGAAGCCAAACCGCCGAGAGGAATAATGAAAGCAAAAGGAACGGAAATTTTGTTAGCAACTACAGTGTCTAAGAGGAATGACTTCTTCTCAACTGCAATACGACACACCGCAGACCTCTGCACAACTGGACAGCGTACAGCTCAAAGGACGCTGAGTGCTTTGACCTCGTCGACTGCGAATGCTATAGCTCTTTCTTAACGAACTACAAAAAGTTGTTACAGAAACATCCACCAAACAATATTTGTTACATCACCTTTGCCGTGATGGCCGTACAATGCCAGCCCGCCTATCAGCTTCCTCGTTTACAAGGTCGAGATCGCTCTCTATGATCATAGGCGCATCCTATAATATGTGTTTGTAGGACTGATGACAGCGATGGACGATGCGTTTACATCTTACGGGATTTAATCAGCTATATCATGGTCTAGAGCTTAAAATCAAGGATTAGAACAAAAACGAAGAAGATGGTAGTGTTGAAGCACCTCTTCAATTCTGCTCTGTTCATGGCTTTTATGCAGACTCGAGAGTTCCCGGCTTTCAACTGTACTGGTGCCATTAACGGAATCTGCTGTAGACAAAAGTGACAACGTTCTCTTTATGATTACAAGATATAACTGCTATGGATGTTCAACAGTACATCGAGAACACGATAACGAGATTGCAAAGTAAAAGTGTACCTCTGGTCGCAGTATTGCAAATTTCTTGTGACTGCCCTGGAGTAGACGCAAAGTTTGGTCTGGAAGGTGTCGATGAAATCTAATGTTTACGGAAGACAGTTTTGGTTTTAGAAGTAAAGGAAATGACTGGTGTTAACGTGCGATTGCTCAAATTCGATTGAAAACTACGAAAAGGCAAGAAGAAAACCCACATGAAACCTTCCAATGACACGTCTGAGGAGCGTAGCGTCCAGTCTGATGACTGTAATTAAAAAATGCGCAAGAGGAAAAAACAGTGGAGATATTGAGATTGTAAATATTTCATGTAGCCTGTTATGAGCTACTTTGGATTAATTTATCTCTTGGCTGCAGAAGACTGGCTCAACGAAAGTTGCTGGAACGCAGAATTTGTAACATGAAAACTATAGAATAAGAAGCTGTTCCAGATACTACCTTGTCTCT